TTTTATATAGTAATAATATTACTAAAATTAGTATTTAATATTTTATAAAGAAATTAACAATTTTTTTTAATTTCGCAAGCAAATTTTCCTGCTAGACAATCTAAGGGATAATATATCATTAATGATTGATTTCTGACTTTTTCATATAAATAAATTTTACTTTTATATGCTAAATATGATTTTTAGGCTGAAATTATTCAAATTTAGCATTAACTCATTTTTATTTTTCTGGTAGTTTCTCACCTTTCTATTGCAAAAATCCCATATTAATCTAATGGCCAAAATTGTAACAATTTTCTTAATCTTGTGCAGCTTTCGTGATTTATTTTCCACACAAAATTCATTTAAGCCAAAATCAATAAAAAAGAAATGGTGACTTTTTGGATCAAAGAGAATATTTCTTTGAGCAATATCATTATGTGAGACTTCATTTAACTGTAACGCTAATGTACAATCATATCCTTCATAATACGCATGTACCCTAATATAAATATTGAAATATTAAACAAATTTAATATCATGAATGAAAAAAAAAGATTCATACCTTAACATTCTTTAAAAATGAAATATATGTGAGCTTCAATTTTAGCATTTTCATTTCTTTTAGCTCTTATAAGCATCACATGAAAGGATGATATCAGCTCAAAATGAGTAGACTCACTTGAATCAATTCTGGAACTGATTTCAAATTTAGCAGATTCTGAACAATTAGGAACTACTATTAACAAATATTAAAATGGAACTTTGGAACTTTGGAACTGATGCTCAAATCAGTTTGTCATCAAATTATGACAGTCTCAAACAACTATCATTTGATAACCAATCAAATTTTATCTTCATCACATGTTCTACCTGTATTTTAAAATTGACTAATAAGCCGAGATGCAGATAGTATTTTAAGCTGACAGTGTAATGGTCAACTGACTGAGTCATTAGCTAAGTCATCAGCTTGGCCAGCTAAGTCATTCAGGGGCTATGTATATTGTATATACGATACATATCAGTTGTGAAAAAAATTTTATCGTGGTTTTGCTAATAAAGAAAATTTATAAACAAAAAATTTACATAATAATTTATGTTCCTTTAATTAAAAGTACTTTTGAGAAGTATATTTAAACAAAATATTTATAATTTATATTATTTGTATGTTCTAAATATTTACTTTGAATAAAGTGTAACTAAATGGTTATTTTCTTTTAAAAATAACAAATCATGAACAGTATTAGGGTTTAGATGGTTTTTTTATCAGTAATAATATTATCTGCATCAGAAAAGAGTCGTTCAGATGGAACAGATATAGCAATTATAGATAAAAACCTACGAACCTGTCTATATAATAAAGGAAAGGTAGTTTTTTTATACCACTATTTTAAAGGATCATAAAGATTATAATGAGGGTGATTTAAAGCTACTACAGGAAGAGCAGGAATTTGTAAATAAAGATAAATTTCTGTATTAATTGGGAATATAGGAGGTTGCAAAGATATATTTTGATTGATTAAAAAAATCTAAAAATATAGAAGTACTATTTAAGTGGAGAGTAGTTAATATTGAGGCAGGTGTTTCTAATAATTCAATTCGTGTTTTTAAACTTTGTTTAGTACTTTCTATTTGTTCTTCTGATAAAAAATATAAAAATTTGAATCTAGGATCCAAAAAACTTGCAATACAACCCAATTCATCAGGAATATCCCAACGTCTAGATAAAGAGGCTAGAATTTCATTACATACTATTTTAATTTGTGGACTTTAATATTGCATGCTGTCTTGTTAAGACAATTTCTTAAACAATATAATGTTAGATTCTATAATGAAAGAATTGGATATGTGCTACCTGATGTAAGATTAGTTGCATCTACAAATGGTTGAAGTAATGAAATCAATTCTTCTAAAGTTGTCTAGTCTTCAGAACTAAGTAATAATTTTTTTAAATTATCACCATCAATACGAGTAGACCTATCAGAATCTAAAACAAGCTTATCAGCCAATGCAGATAGTGTATTATGAAAATAAATAAGTTGTTCCAATAAAAAGAAAGCGCTATTCCAACGCGTTTCTGTATCAGATGCGATTGGATCCAAAATACGAATATTTGTTTCTAAATTAAAAAAAATATTATAATTTTACTAAAATTAAAAAATTAATTTAAATAGAAATTATTTTACCATTTGAATTTATCTCACAAAATGTTGCTTTTAATAAATTACGATATTTATCACGACTTGATATAAAATTATTTAATTTTTTTGCTATATCAATTAGATTTTTG